CAATTTCATACTAAATTTAAAAACTATAATTAGTATTTATTCATATATTATATTTTAAAATCAAAGAACTACTAATCAGGATATAATTAAAGAAATAAGAGTTCATGTTGCTTTTAAAATATTTCACCAATTTCTCTAAAGGAAACACTATCTACAGATTTGCATCGAAGCGTTTCTTATGATAGTGATTTTAATCACTGTCAGATATCATCTATACTTGTCCCATCTATGCCTCGTCCACACTGTGCCTCGACCCCATTGTGCTACCGTTTTTTTAGTACAATCTTAAATAAATCTTAAAAATTTATCATAATGTTTGATTTATAATATCATATTGTATTTTATAGTTTCTGCACGATCGACTGTAATAGATAAAACGCCCTGTAGCATTATGTTATAATTTATAATATTAGAATATAATATGATGTTATCGTTTTTACATGTATGTGTTCTATTACGATAATATAAGATCACCAAAACAAGATTCTCTTATTTAAAATACAAAATAACTAGCTAATTAAGGGATAAAATCTACTTATTATACAGATTTTTAAGTAACGTAAAATGAAAACTATATTAAAAACATTATTAATTTAAAACTAAAAAATATAACAAATTTTTAACTCAAAAAAACACAAAAAAATTACTAAACAATCGCGAATATGTATTTTGGGAACAATGTTACAATTATCAACGCTAAACACAAATTCCGCTAATCAAAACAGTTTGTGTTTGGCTCACAGTACCAGTTTACTTTGCTTCGTCATTGGCGATAGACGAGTCGTTGAATAAAATAAGTTAAATTATTTACAATATAAATAAGACAAAAGTGATAGTATCGAAAACTATATATAACGGCCACTCAAACACAACTGCTCTTAGTTAGTTCGACGTCAGTAGCTGCGGACTACTGATGAGTAGAATTGTGACATCAGAATCTCCCTTTATTCTAATTAATGTGTATTACGAATTAATTAAATGAAAGTACAACGTGTATAATATAAATGGTAAGAATATAGTAATAAATGTTATTACACAACGCTCGCGGTTTCAATTTTATTGTCTCTTCAGAATATAAAAACATTTATTTTTCTTAGATGGAAATCACCATTTTTAACTTGATAATATGATAGAAAAAACATTTTAATCAATTTTGTGATTTTCTCATCATTTTTCATCTTAAAAAGAAAGAAATATTTTTATATTATCATTTGGCAAGATTTAAAACACAATTTTATGCAATTGCTAAGCAAATATCAAAAATAGAGTCCATATCACAGTGTATTTAACTATTTACTGGTAAATAGTAGCACATAGAAACAATATTGATTATTTATTTGTATATATCCAGCTGTAATTCCAAGTAATCCATGATACTGAAAAAAATTCTTTTTAAGTTAAAACCAAAGTCCTAAAATCACGTATTATTAATTGTATTTCACTATAATTTAATTTCTATAAATATCCAAATAACTAACAGCTTTGGAAGGACTTAATAATTTTATGTCTATTTTTGTCTTTTGAAAATTTTAATAATTGTAATGGTATTAGTATTATTTAATGTTCACGAATATAAAAAACAATAAAAATTTCCAAAAATAAAATACTTAACAATTTTGCTATAAACGGGTCTAAATTAAAATTTTTTAGGAAAATCCGATTATTTGTCTTCTACTAAAAACTCATAAAATATAATAAAAGCCATGAATCTTCCATTAAATTCAAGTCCTGTTCATGCTGCCATTGCATCTTCCTATTTAGAACTACTTAGATTACACCGTAATCTCAAGTTGTTATATAGACAATAAAAATGCTATTTTAATACAAGTATTTAAATTATGAAAATAATATGAATAGAGCAAAAAATTCATATTGAATAAATGAGAAACATTACGTTTTGTAAATAGACAAAAAAATATATAACATTAAACTTTAAATAGTCAAAGAAATATTTGTAATTGATAGAAATTAATTTAACATTATATACTCTTATACGTATTTTAAACACTTATACCTTAATTATGCACATCGAATATTTAAAATACATTTCCAAGTATCTTTTATATTAACTTATAAAACTTTTTAACAAAACTTAAGGTGGTGTAAGATTAGTTACTACATTCATATGATTTTTTTTTTTATATAAATATATACATTTTTCATTTTTCACATCAGCCGTATTTAATGAATTATGGTAAAGAATCCAAACACTAAGTTTATCATAATAAACATATATACAAACATTTAAATAATATGAAGTAGCAAGTATTTCTAAAGGTCCCCAAAAACTCCTTACATCTTCTGTAAAAAAAAATTATTGAATAAAATTTAATTGAACATAATTTTATTTATACTGCTGTTATGCAATTATAAGACAAATGTTGTTATTCATGCTTAAATACTTCTACTGAAAGTTTTTTTTAGCCTGTTGTATAAAAACATGTACAATACAATTAAAAAATTATGCTTATTGCTCAAATATAACAGATTGTATAAAATTTTAATATTAAAAAAATATACAGTTGAGGTCCAACGTAGTGGAGTTGACATTTTTTTAGATTAGTGTTGATACCTATTTGAAAATAATTATTATAATTACTAAAAATTACATGATATTGACTTAAGATATCGATCACCTGTAAAACACTAGTCTTACGTAGAACGTTTTAATTTTTTTAAACATTTGTTGCATCAAATAAGTCTTAAATTTAAATAATCCAGACTATGCAAAATCAACAACTATTACCAAAATCTTCTAAAAACCGAGATTTTAGAAAGTTTCACTTTTTTTATCTTAAAATAAATTTACTAGCTCTAATTTAATGTAGGTTTGAAGTAATCAGGTTCTTTGAAATGTTATCAAAAATTGAAAAGAAATAAGTTTTTATATAATATATATACCCCATCATTTCTAAGTACAAGATTATATTTATAAAAAAATATAAGTCTAATAATCAATAAAAATGTTGCAATACTCCTTGTATAATAATTCATATTAATTGTTACTATACATTTTTTCGATAAACTTTTTCAAAATCATAACACTCAAGAATTCATCTCTAAACGTAACGTGATATTTTGAAGTATTGTTGAGCATAATCAGTTCAGTACTCCTACTAGTATCCAGTAACACAAAAAAAAAAAAACACGACAAAATAAAACAAATAGCTCAAAATAATAAAATCAATCAGTTATTTATTAGAGTTTCAAAATGGACTATCTATATTGAATAATACATTACCACGTAAGTAATGTATTATTGACCTTTGGTTACATTATAAGTAACTAAATTTTACTTGAAACTTTAGTGTTTGAAATTATTTCAGACGCTATAATAGAAAAATTAAAATTTAATTTAAGTTGTACAACAATCAGTGTTAAAAAAATAAACCTGTGATTAGAAATTAACTTATTAAGACTTGTTATAAATAGTGAAAATAAGAAGGAAATTGAAAAAAAATTAAGCATGTCATTATTTAATGATATACAATTAACGAAAATAACAGATATTTTTTACCTCCATTCTCGAAAAATGTGTTATATTCTGCTCTACAAATCGGACAAATAAATTTTCCACTAATTACTAATTTATCAACACAATTATCACAGAGTTGATGTTTACAACTATCAAGAATACAAGGTATGCTTTTGCTTTCATAACAAATTGGACAATCTTCATATGGATCTAAAAAAAGATCAAGTTTCAATAATTTGTTTTGATATAATCAATGTTATTTAATTTACTTTCAAAGTTAAGGTTAGTTAACATTTTTAAACTTTTCTTTTTTTTTTAATGCCTTTATTAAAATTAAATCTAATCTAAATATAATCTTTAAAATACTTGCCACTATAAATTGGTTGAGCTATATGAAAAAAGAAACATAAATTATATAATTTTTATGAAAAATTGATATAATTAGTTGAAATAAAAATCCAAAAAAGTATGATGCTTGATATTCAGTATGATATCGACATTTTTGAAAAAGCACACAATACATTAGAGTATAAAGCCTTACATAAGTTATGACCTATAAAAGTACATTTGTTTCATTTATTTCATATTAATATACAAAAAAAAAAAATAATATTTAAACCACTTTATATCTGTTTTATTCTTAAGATACAATGTATATATATAATTTTTTTTTATAACATTTAAATTTTATTTAATCATACTTGCAACTGTAAACATAGTAGAAATGGCTATGTACTCCTCAAACATCTCTTTAGTTTCAAAAAGTTTTTCAATATGTTCATTTGATATTAGATTCTTGTTTCACAAAATTAAGAAATAATCATTATTTTAACAATGCTCATAGTATATTTTTAAGGTTAAAACAGCAATTTACTTTTACTATATTTCGTCCAAATTGCTTGCTTTTTTTTCGATCTCCGCATATTAATTCAGAAAAGATTATAGATATGGCAACTTTATCATAGTAATGTTCAACTGGTATCATATAAGAAGTAAACTTAAGTTTCGTATTGGGTTCTTTGTATGTAAATCCTAGACTGTTACATTTTTCTCTTTTCCAATCTGTATCAACTGGATTGTAATAAAGTGGAGATTCAATTATTTTGTATTGAATGTTTATTTTTCCATTTCTCATTAAACATTTATGAGGAACTTTTATGCCCTAAAAAGTGATTGTTTTTAAAGTAATTAAATAATTGTTTAAATTAAAAATACTTTTACCTTATGTGAATTATTTAACTTAATGTAACATAAAAAGCTTAATAACACTGAAATTTTCATGAAACAAAATGCCATATTAATTAACCGTTACGTTGGTATTTTTTAACAGCATTAATATTTTTTATATTATGAATTATATATCATTCGATAATATCAAAAAACTCATATTATTTACTTTTAATATTAATAAATATGAAAAAAAATGGTTTTGGATAAATAAAAAAAGTATAACTTTAAATATATTTCTGTACCTTTAACATATGACTAAGTATAAATATAATAAACTGTTCAGTAATTTTATAAATATTTTTTCTTAAAACTGCCATAACTTTTTGAAAAATAATTAAAGAAAATTTTTTTTATAATGTAATCTTAAGTATTTTCCTTTTGTTTAATATAAATTTATTCAAAATCTAATCCGTTTATTGCTCACGTGGAAGATTCAAAAGAATAAATTTTGCATGAAAATTTAATTTTTTCAACCTATATTTTGAAAATGTTTTGGAAATACTCCAGAGCTTCAAAAATATGTTAAAATAAAGCTTATGCTATGTACTAAAATTTTAGCAAACAGATTTGTCTCGACGACCTATTTTCTATGTGCAAATAGATTGTTATATTTAAAAAAAACATGATATTTTGTGTTCACATTTTTTTTTTGTTTATTTTAAAATATCTTACAAGGGTTTGCCACAGTTCTTTAAACTGCCATAACTTTTTGAAAAATGAACTAATTAAAATAATTCTTTTATATATTGAAATTTTAGGTATTTTTCTTTGTAGGAAATCCACACTAAAATTATGATTTTTAAAATCGTTTCTTATGATAATAATTATAATTACTATCAGATAAAATGTATACTTGTCCCAACTATCCCACGTTCACACTGTGCTAATTAGTTTTCTTATTTATATTTTTTGCTAATTTAAAAATACCTTACAAGAGTTTGCCATTGTTAAGAGTTCACCAATTTTTATAAAAGTTACATGAATCTAACTTACATTAAATGTAAATTTAAACTTATTTTGATTATTTTGCCTCTTCAAAGTTAAGAATAACTTGAATTTGTGGATTAGCTTAAATTATTCTTATGTATTTTTTAGATTGATATGTGATCAGGAACTTATTTAAGTATTATTAACAGTAAATTTATGAAGAAAACTCAGAATTTCATTTTTATGTATATTTTTTATTGTAGTAAATCATTTAAATAGAAGTCTTAGTAATCATTTCTGTTTTGTACGAGGCAGCTAGTCCGTAGGACGGCTAGTTGTGCACAGCACTAGAGGGCCGTTTTACCTTAAGCCTATTTAAATCGCTAATTATTGAAGCGGGAATAGGTCACTTAGGGGATGACGACTAACGATACATCCAATAAGTAACGAGAATAGACAATAATTAAATAACAAATAACCACATATATTAGAAATTCTTCAAAGTATCTTAAATTTAATGGGTAGCGGGGGGTCCTTAAAAATTAATGGCCGATGAAGCGGCATAAACAAAATAGTTAAACACAATAAAGACAAACAATAAATAACATTAAAAAATTATATAAAACTCAGCTAAACAGATGAAGTTGTTGATGGTGATGAGTGGACTGAATGAGATTTTGTGGCAATGGTGTCAAACATCTGAGTATGAGGAGCAGAGTGTAGATTCAGACACGTAATCGCAGATGAGAACAGACGGCGGAAAAGCGACTACGGCAATGAAGATATTTAGTGATGGTCTATCACTAGTGGCGTGCAAAGGCACAAAAAATTTGAGCTTAAGGGTGCAATAAACAAATAAAAAAACAACAGTGTATAATGGCCGAACAATTTACCATTCAAACGAAGGCGCTTGCTACAGAAGAGAATGACACATAAAACAAAAAGACTTACTGACTTCCCTTTTATTTGACATCATTTTTTTGAAAATCTAACACTTAACCTGCTCACAGGAGGGGATTTAAAATAGTAACTTTTTTACAAAAACTAACTTTTTCAATTGAACTTTTGAAAATGTTCCGGAAATACTGCGTCCTTTTAACATATATCAAATTAAAGCTTATTTTATGTACTATAAAATTTGTCCCGACACTTTATCTTCTGCATGAAAAGGGCTGCTGTAGTTAAAAAAATGCTATTTTTATGTTAAAATTTTCAATTTTCGATTTTATATTTTCAACTTTAAATTGCTATATCTTTTAAAAAAATGTATGTATCAACACAAATTTATTTTTCCTTAATACATTATGAATACTTTTTTTATTTGACATACTTTTATTTAAATTGGACAATTTTCCCTTATATAGGAGGAGTTTAAAACTTGAAACATACGTATAAAAAGTAGAACTTGTTCAACTTTACTTTTGAAAATGTTTCGGAAATACTGCGTCCTTTTATTAATTATTATTAAAAACTTTATATTTAATAATGTGAAACGGTATAAAATAATAATAGTGGTTTAATTTATAAGTAATTATCATTAGTGTATCATATAAAATTATTATTTTAGATTTGTTTTAATATTTAAATCACCCAACGATATAACGTAAGCATTAGACATATTACTGATAATACTAACAATTGAATAAACACAAAAAAATTATTATTATTTTAGACTCATAAGTAAAACAAGTTTATTAAAAATTAATATATATTGAGCTACTTTTAGAAATTTGAATATTTAAAATACATTTCCAAATATCTTTTATATTAAATAATAAAATTTTTTAACAAAATTTAAGGTGGTGTAAGATTAGTTACTACATTCATACGATTTTTCGTTAAATATAAATATATACATTTTTCATTTTTCATATTAGCTGTATTAAATGAATTATGATATAGAATCCAAACCTTCTTTCTAACATTATAAACATAAATACAAACATTTAAATAATATGCAGCGGCAAGTATGTCTAATTCTCCCCATAAACTCTTCATATTTTCTGCAAAAAAAAAAAAAAAAATCCTTGAATAAAAATTAATAGAACGTGACAAATACGGGAGATACGTCATTATTATAGTGAAAACAGAAACTTACTAAAAAAATATCTTTGAGTTCAATTTTGTATACCACTGTTTATTTTTTTTACATTTGTTGCAATAAACAAGCTTTAACTTGAAATAATTCAGAATGATTGCAAACTAAATACAAATCATTGACTATTACCGAAATTTACCGATTTTTGACTGTATGTTTTATATAATTGCGCGAGAATGAAGAGACATTAATACAATTTGGAAGATTTTTCTGAAGATATTTAGCTTCCATTCAAAGCTAAATGCCTAAATTTATTAATTTTTTTGTGTCAGTCACATCATTTTCTCTGCTGTTAATGGACCTATTTTAATATATGATACTTCAAAAGATCACAAATCATATCTAACATTATTCTCAAAAATCGAAAAAATTTCTTCCGTTCCAATAAATAAGGAAATTCTCTCAGAAAATTAAAATTATTATAATCGGTAAATTTTGAAATTGTAAACTTACCATAACTTCATTGAAAACTGAATGAATTAACATAATGTTTATTAATCAAGATATAATTAAGAAAATAGGAGTCGCTATTTAAATATTCCAATAGTACCTTCTACAAATTAATTACGCCGTTATATATCATCTATACTTGTCCTAACTGTGTCACTTTCGAACTGTGCTGGGTTATTAAAAAGTAGAATTATCATTTATTCATGTATAGGTTTTAATTTTTATTTAAGGTAATACACTTTTTGTGTCGTGTCTCGTGTTCGAATTCGTTGCACTGGGTTATATATTGTCATCTTCACTAGCACAAGAAATATTTTTTAGAGAGGAAATTAAACATGATTATATTATAATAAACAAATAACATAATTGTAACGTTTTTTAGATTGTTATTGATTTATATCTGACAGTGGTTAAAGTCACTGTCGTAAAATGATTCGATCTGTATTTGAAACAATATAAAATAATTTTTGAGATTTTTTGCTTTAACATGTTTTAAAGAAAAAAATGTTGATATAATATTAAAGGCCCCGTAGTAGACCTGCATAATAGTTATTTGCTACATTTGATAGTCAATTTACCAAACGATATACCTAATAAATCGAATATATATATGATAAAAATAGCAATAAGGAAGCAATGTATCAATATATATGTACACTGGTAGTGTATTTAGAGGCGAGCATAGGGACATGCGTACCTTCATAGACTCAGACATACTAACATTTTATTAATAATTATAATAATGTATTCACTTTTATTTAGTTATTGATGATAACAAATGTTTATTAAGTAAATATTATATTATATTGAGCAAAATTCAACATCTCGTAGAGTTGCCCTAGAAATATTATCACGTTATTAATTAATACGTTGAATTTAATCCCTTTGAAATATTTAATGAGTAGAGAAAAACGCTGATACTTTATACTTTAATTATTATATGCCTGTTAATAACTTTTAAAAATTGATTCGAAAAAGTCACAACAAAAAAAAAAAAACAGAATACTGGGAACAAGTATAGATCAGTGGTCGGCAACCGGCGGCCCGCGGGCCGTATCCGGCCCGCGTGGCTATTGAATACGGCCCGCTTTAAATTCTAAATCGACTAATTTAATTGAATATCATTTTGTATAAATATAATTGAACGTTGCGTTTTTGGTACGGGTATTTTATATAAGTCATATTATTATTTTAAGTTTTAGATAGTATTTTTTTGCATAATAAATAATGTAATTATAAATTTTTTTTTTTATCTGGCCCGCGAACTCTTTTTAATTAGTAAATGTGGCCCGAGAATTAAAAAAGGTTGCCGACCACTGGTATAGATGATATCTGACTGTAATTAACGCCATTATCATAAAATACGATTCGACGTGTAGCTTATAAATATAAAAATAATTTGTAATTTTTCAATTGCTATTTTTTATAATTTACCTAAAATAAAGTTTTATAATTTATTTTTGGCGATTGTGAAAACGCCGGAACATCTTTAATTTTTATTATAAATTACTCTAAAAAGTTTTAATTCGATATAGATTTGAAAAACTTGTATCAGTTTCGCATCGAATCTAAAATGAAAGATATTTTTTCAAAATAAATTTTTTTAAATTTTAGTTTGTAAAAAGGGGGGAGATTAATCAAAAGCTAGAGGTGTGGAGATCAGCTCTTGAAGAAAAGGGTTTAAGAATAAGTAGAAGTAAGACAGAGTATATAGAGTTTGAGTTTGAAAAAGGAGAACACGAGGTAGGTGAAATGAAGAGATCAGTGACAATAGGCTAGGATATGATTGGAGAGGTGGAAAGTTTTAAGTATTTAGGGTCAGTTGTTCAAAAGCGGTGGTATTGACGAGGATGTAAGACACAGGATTAAGTGCGGGTGGTTGAAACGGAAAGAAGCGTCTGGCGTGTTATGCGATAAAAAAATTTCAATGAGGCTGAAAGGTAAATTGTACAAGACTGTAGTGAGACCAGCTTTGATGTAAGGTTCAGAGTGTTGGACGGTTGTTAAGAAAGTAGAGTAGAGAATGAGAGCAGCAAAAATGAGAATGCTTAGATGGATGAGTGGAGTGACTAGAGAAGATAGGATAAGGAACGAGCATATAAGAGGGAGTATAGGTATAGCGTCAATTGTGGATACGATGAGAGAAAATAGACTTAAATGGTTTGGTCATTTTATGAGGAGAGAGGAATCGGAAGCTGTTATAGAAATGAATGTTAAAGGAAGACCAAAAAAGATATGGAGGGATGCTATTGAATGCGATGTGAAGCCAGTGAAGTGAGCGTAGATGATGTGGAACATCGTGTTAAGTGGAAGTTTAGGATAAGGGTGGTCAACCCCTAGTAGTTGGGATTAAGGCGAGGAAGAACAAGAAGAAGTTTGTAAAAAAAATTAATTTCTTATCACGTGCTTCAAGTATGTATGTAGTATTTTTTTTTTCATAATTCGTTTACTATTTTTTAATTTAAAATTATTAAAACTAATTAGTAAAAGTGAAAATTCAGAGAAAATTTTAATTAAAACTTAAAATAAACATAACAATGTTCAAGTATTCGTTATCAAAGAAAATAATTAATTTCTACTATACTGTTATAATGATTCTACCTAACATTTACGATTATAGTTATTGTATTTTTTACCTTCATTCTCCAAAAATGTGATAAAACTTGCTCTACAAAGTGGACAAGACTTTCTTTTTTTAATTAATAATTTATCAGTACAAGTACCACAGAGTTGGTGTTTGCAATTATTAAGAACACAAGATATACTTATTTTATCGAAACAAATAGGACATACTTCACCTAAAAAAAGACGAACATAGATTAATCAATGTTATTTAATTTATTTTCATATTTTTAGTAAGTCTACATTATTAAACTCTATTGTAATGTTTTTGTTAATATTAAATCTAATAAAATCTTTAAAATACTTGCTATTATAAATTGGTTGAGCTATATAAAAAAAGAAACATAATCTTCATTAGTGTTATTTATACAAATTGATTACATTAATTATTGAAATATAAATAATTTTAAATAAAAATAACTAAATAGTGCAAATAATATGGCGCATAATATTTATCGTTAAATAAAAAATGTTGGAAATTTATATAAAACAAATATATTAAATAAACAATTATATTCATTGAAATATAGAAAAATGTTAAATCCTATACAATGAAACTCGAGAGTATGAAGCTGTCTCTATACAGTACATATGCCTCATTTAATTTATATGAATCTACAAAAAAATAATTTATATACCACATTATATCTGTAATATTCTCAAGATAGTTCAGTTTATATAAAAATTTTTTTTTATAACATTGATTTTATTTAATCATACTAAAACTGTAATTTTCATAAATCTATCTATGTACTCTTAAAACATATCATTAGTTTCAAAAAGTTCTTAATATGTTTGTTTCTTGTTTCAAAAAGTTGAAAACACATTATTTTTAACAATGCTGGTAGTTTATTTTTAAAATTGAAACAGTAATTTACTTAAAAAAAATTAATTTTATATCAGTGTTTATAATATATTAATTTCATTTAATCATACCTGTAGTATTTAATGTCACATATTTAGCTATGTACTCATTATACATCTTTTCAGTTTTAAAAAGTTGTTTAATATCATCGTTTGATATTAAATTCTGCTTTTACGAATTTAAAAAGAAATTATTTAAAAAATGTTGATAGTTTATTTTTAAGTTTGGAAGAACAACTCACATTTACTATATTTCGTGCAAATCGTTTCCTTAATAATCGATCTCCACATATTAATTCAGACAATATTATAGGTAATGATTTTTCAGTATAATATAATTCGACTGGTAACACAAAAGACGTAAACATAACCTTTGTATTGACTTCTTTGTATGTAAATCCTAGACTGTGGCATTTTTCTATTTTCCATATTGTATCAACTGGATTGTAATAAACTGGAGAGTTAATCTTTTTATGGTGAAGTTTTATATCTCCATCTATCATAAAACATTTATGAGGAACTTTTATAACCTAAAAAGTGATTGCTTTTAAAGTAATTAAATAATTGTTTAAATTAAAAATACTTTTACCTCATGTGAATTATTTAACTTAATGTAACATAAAAAGCTTAATAACACTGAATTTTTTATGAAACGAAATGTCATATTAATCAAACGTTGAGCTGGTATTGTTTATATCGAATATATATATATATATAACTAAATTTAATTATCATTAAAGTGATATTATATACTTTTTAGATTAATAAAAATGAAAAAAAATAGGAATGGATACGTAGATCAAAATATACATTTATACAGTGTCGTCATATTAAAGTCAAAACTCGAATTCTCTTAAAATAATAATTTTGTTAAGAAAACTATATTTGATATTTATTAACTTCATATATTTGTTCAGTGTTTAAATATTTTTTTAATTATTCTTTTTCATATTTTAAGAGTGCTAAAATATATATTTAACTAGCTTATAAAATAAAAAATAATCTAATTAATAATTTACTTGTTGATAATAACTTTTTGGTCAGTACTTTGTAAGTTATGAATATATCTAGACGGAAGAAGAATTGCGTCCAAGAAATGTCTAACAAATAAATATAATGATACCTACGTTTTGTATCCAGTCTATATTTTAAAATGATAAACTTTCGAAATAATGTATCAGAAATTGTTAACGATTAGTTATTTTTTTAATTAGATAATTTGTATTTCATAATTTTGTTAAATATGTATGTTACTATTAAAAAAAAGTTAACAATGGTATAAGGGATAAATTAAAATTAATAACTGATCAATTAAGAAATGTATGAAATTAAAACAAAAATAATTCAGTTAACATAATTCTTATTGTAAAAAAATTCGAGTGACTAGCGTTAAAAGAATCATTCTGTATACTTGCTTGTAAAAGGGACATATGTTATTTGAGTATTAATACATTAAACAATTTAGTAATGTAATAAAAATAATAACTTCATGCAAGAAAAATTTAAAAAAAAATCATAGGCAGTTAAATCCGATTTTATGTTTATTAGTTTTGCCTGTTTTGCCTTGTTCAAAGCATAATGCTTTTAAACGAATGGTTAAAATATTGTTTAATTTTTATATATTGTTTTTAGTTGGTAAATTAATTATTATAACACTTTTACACTTATTTAATATAGATATATGATGGTCTACACAAGTAAAACTTTTTGATTGAGCTTCAACTTATCCAAAGAGGTTATGAAATAAAAAAAAAACCCAGCACAGTGGGGTGGCGGCACAGTGGGGTCGTGGCATAGTTGGGTCCAGCATAGATGATGTCTGATAGTGATTAAAATCACCATCATAAAAAACTCTTCGATGCAAATCTGTAGATAGTGTTTAATTTGAAAAAATTAATGGATTATTCCAAGAGCTGTATATTCTGATTACAAGTTTTATGATTTAGAAGTGTAATATATGAATAAATAAATAAATATATATATAAATATTAGGGTGACAATAAAAAAAAAATTTCACTAGTTTTAAGGGCCTACCCATTTAAATTATGTGTATTTACAATATAAAGGTCCATAAATAAATTCGACAAAAAATAAAAATAATTACTGGTCGCGCAACATGATTTTATTTTAAATTTTTTACATCACAAAGATTAAAAAAATAAAAAAACTAATTCTTTTTATTTGGGTTACAATATTGTTTTCGATGTTGTTCAACTACTTGCAAGAGATACTGTTTTTGTTCTTCTTGATTAATAAGTATCCCATTAAATTATTGAATCAAAGATATCCCACGTTCGGCAGCGTCGTTTACTACTTTTAAACTTCGTATCCTTTTATGCCCATCAATGTAATTAGCGTTTTCTTCCCAAATACTTGGTTGTTGACTTAAAAAATCTTGTGGTATATTTAGCGCTGTAAATAATTTTAAGGTATTATTAGTTACAAAATCGCACAACTGCATTGTTTGAACTGCATTCAACTCGATTTTAATACGTCGTTGTGGGTTGACGGCTCTCTTGTTTTCCAATGATTTCATCATTTTTATTTTCATTTCAGTTAGCACTTTTCTGTCAAAAAAAGACAGTACCACGAGAGTGTCACTTAAATGCCATAAATGCCTAGAAAAACTTTTAATAGCAGCATCAGCTATAATTTCATGAGTATTTTTATATAAATTAAGCTCCTTCAATAGATTTAAATCGTTGAAAGGAGCTGATTCCCCACAAGGAGCAATATACCAAAGTTTTATGTAAGCTTGTAGTACAAAAATATTGAAAGCTTGTAGTGACGATAGTTCTTGTGCGGTTAATTTGATTTGTGATCTAAATAAGTAGATTTTCATACTATAGATAATCTTAGCCATCCATCTATGTAAAGCTCCAGGTGCCTGTATATTAACGTTTTTGGAAATATCAACTCTTTCACAAAAAATTAACTTTTTCAACTTAACTTTTGAAAGTGTTCCGGAAGGTCTGACACTTTAATATATATCTTAAATTAAAGCTAATGTAATGTACTTTATTATGAATAAAAAAAATTTGACCTCTGGACTTCTTCGTGGTGAAAATGGCTACCGAATGCTATTTTTGTGTGAAAATTCTCGATTTTATTTTTTACATTTTTAACTTTATAATGCTATAACTTATTGAAAAGTCTATGGGTCAACACAATTTTTTTATGAGAAATAATATTTTTTAATAATCCCTTTTCCATTCGACATACTTTATCTTAAACAGGATATTAATAAGAAACTAGCAGATCATGTAGCTTTTGGAATAAAACATCAATTTTTTAAAATTAAACACTATCTTTAGATTTGCATCGAAATGTTTTTTTTTGATAGTGATTTTAATCACTGTCAGATATCTTTATACTTGATCCAACTATGCCACGTCACCACTGTATTGCTACCCCCCTGTGCTGGGTTTTTTATCTTCTTTTTTTAAAAGTTTCGTGTCAACAGAGCTCATGCAACCACGTCTTCCTTTTTCTCTCTGAGCCAGGAGAAACTTTTTATCCTCTTCAATAGTTATAAGAGTTGAAGCATCCTTATGAGCAATATCAAATAAATTATTGAAGTCATCGACAAATACAGACTCAATCTCCTTTTGATGAGGAGTTTTTCTTGAAGAACTTTTTTTTTAATTCAGCCATTTACAATGAATTTTTTTTATTCTGTCAATTATATGACATTTCTTTTGAGTAGGAATTTTAGCTTTTGCCCAAAATGTACATATTTCTTTTGCTGTGATGGTAGCACTAATTTGAATAGTTTTTTTCCATGCAAATGCAAATGAAAAAAACGACAAAGTACTTGCTGGTTAGATGGTAGTTTGCAACCAGTAATTGATTCGAGTGTACCTCTAACTAGCCAAACTCCTCGATCCTTTACTTAACTTATAGTTTTAGTACTTGTGCTTGCCATAATATTTTAATTACATATAAAATTACACATATATGAACTAAATAATAAAAAAAATATTCACAACAGAATGGAATTATTATAATTATCACAAATACACAAAATTTGAATTTAATTATTCAAAAAATATGAACTTAACGAAACACTTATAAAATATTTATAAAAGTCGCCGTACTTTTATTATCACGAAAAATTATGTTAACGGTTTAAAATGACAATTTGTACTGTCATACTGCAAATGAGTCGATAACATCAGTATATTATCGTCGATAATGAGAGCTCATGAAATCGTGTTATCAAAGTTATTTATAAACAAATAATAAAGCTCTGTGCGACCTCTAAACATCAACAAAATTAGATAAAATTTTCAGAAAATGTATATTTTACCCAAATGAATATTTTAAAAGGGTGGGACAAAAGAAAAATTTAAATAAAATTCTTGTCATATAAAATGTTGTCACTCTAATATATATATTAATAATATATAAATATAAATAGTACTTATCTCAAAAAAAATATAGTGATCCATACATTTTTCAAAAAGTTATAGCATTATAAAGTTATAAATATGAAAAGAAATTTTTTTACAAAAATCGTATTTATTTTAATAACGTTGATGACTGTTTTCACCATGAAAACAAAATAAAGTCCTAAATTTTTTTTTTAATTTTTAAGTATATTACATAAGCTTGAATTTAAGATATATATAAAAGTGTCAGTATTTCCGGAACACTTTTCAAAAGTTAAGTTGAAAAAGTTCTACTTTCAATATGCATTTTTGTTTTGAACCTCCCCTGTATCAAGAGAAATGGTCCGATTTAAAAAAAAGTATGTCAAATAAAAAAAGTATTCATAATGTATTTAGGAAAAATAAATTTGTGTTGATAAATACATTTTTTGAAAAGATATAGCAATTTAAAGTTGAAAATATAAAATCGAAAATTGAAAATTTTAACAGAAAAATAGCACACAGTAGCCATTTTCACTGTGAAGACAAAATAAAGTCCGACATTTTTTTTTTCCATAATTCAGTATATTATTAATTATTATTAAAAACTTTATATTTAATAATGTGAAACGGTATAAAATAATAATAGTGGTTTAATTTATAAGTAATTATCATTAGTGTATCATATAAAATTATTATTTTAGATTTGTTTTAATATTTAAATCACCCAACGATATAACGTAAGCATTAGACATATTACTGATAATACTAACAATTGAATAAACACAAAAAAATTATTATTATTTTAGACTCATAAGTAAAACAAGTTTATTAAAAATTAATATATATTGAGCTACTTTTAGAAATTATTATTATTTTTTATTTTATGATTTCTAAGAAAAAATTAGGTTCATTAAATTTAAATTAATTAACAATTTGAGTGCCTAAAATATTTTGCAATCATAAACCCGAGTCTAGCAAAAACTATTTTACTTTTAAGTAAATTTTGGATAGTTGAGCAAATTTTTTTTAAATAATCAACTGTGTTTACATCATACATTCAGCAGCAACAAGAAAGGATTTAGACATGTTAAAAATTAGGGGTTAATTTTAGGATTGCCTCTTAAATAAACAAAATATATTTTTTTAAATCTTTATTTAATAACACATAGTTGAATTGTGTACTAAAAAAATGTTTTTATTTAAGATATAAATTCTTGGGTGGTGTGGGCACAAAATTTTTTTATCTAGGTTAGGACGGTAACCCCTTCTCAACTACGTCCCAATCGTAAACTCTTAAACAATTCAAAGTATTGTCTTCAATAATGGCTTTGATAA